AATGTGTTGCTTTTGATGTGAAGTCCTGATGAAGGTCCTTCTAGACCGAAAGGCTGAAAACAATGTACAAGTTTTCTCTGCAGGGATTTAAATGTGGATACTGTATATTCTATATGATACTTCCAGCACCTTATTTAAGATAAAGCCGAGTGAAGCGGTGGTTATCGTGCATTTCCCTGTGTTGCTCAATGAACCCTCCCACCAGACACACACACACACACACACACACACACACACACACACAGAGGCAGTTGAGCCTCTTTGAGCACCAACAGCTGTAATGGTGTGATAAGGTAGCAAAACCCACGGCTGGGGTTTATTTTTTTTTTAGACACGGTCAGAATCCCAGCGCAGCAACGGCATTCACACAACAATCGCACGGCCTTTGAAGTTCCATTTTTATTATTTTACGAACCATTTAATCGCTCCCAAATGAAAAACCAATGACAACAGCTGACAATCTTGTGCACAGCTGCTTCACCAGAAGACCTTTGGATGAGCGGCTGAGGGAGCTGAAGACAATGACGGGGTCCAAATGTCCCTTTTCGCACCATGGCGACAGTGAACTATGTCTCCTTGGTGGGCAATGTCCTTTTTATTTCTCCTTTCTGTCCTTCAAGCTACGATAGACCATATAGATAGAGAACACATCGACAATAAAGGATAAGGAGACCTCCTACTAGTGTTTTATCAAGGACATCGCCCTGGAAATACAGTACATCTTCTCCCACCGAGTCATACTGGATCCAAAAGAGGAAATGTAGACCGGAGGTTTTTTGGGACGGTTTAATATCATGACGGTTGTCTGGTTGTCTGTGGGACATAGATGATAACATAATGTGCCAATTGTATGACTGGAAATGAACCATGTTGGATCCCTGTGATTTTTATGTGTTTTTCTGAAACAGGACTGAGACCGTCTATTATTACAATATGACTTTGATGTCCCCTTTTTGAAGATATCATTCAGATGCTGATGAAACACCTGCATGTCCGTGGGACGATCAAAAGTGTCAGTCTATCATAAAACATAAAAGAGGGTGTTTTACTTTGTAGTGCTGCATATTCTCAGTTATCCTTGTTTTATTGGTTTTGCTTTGAAACGACTATTTTACGTTTCGGATACTGTATTTACATATAAAATGAATCACCATTACACGTGTATTTCGTAGCAAATCATGTGCATTAATTGCTTTTTTTTTTTTTTACAATATGCTTAACAAAACCAACAGGGATTGCAGTTGTCACCACATGACCCCCCCCCCCTGCCCTCCTTCATTGGAGAATCGGCCCACATGTTAATAATTATGCATCAGTGCCCTGAAACATCGACCTCCCACTCCCACCGCTGTCATATTCCTAGGCCCTTGTTATGCGTCAGGCTACCTATGATTACAATAACATTTCACTGGTCACATACACGCAGACCACCCACTGACACACACACACACACACACACACACAAAACACCGTGCGTCCTGACTTCTCCTGTCTATCTCAGGCCTTGACGTTTCCTCCATTTACCGCCGATTACCGCTCTCTCCGCCGGTGGATGGCACAGGGATTAAAGCTGGAATGCCCGAGTCACTGTGCTGCTTATTGAACGTTGCGCTGTTCCTGTATTGATTTTCAAAAAGGCGACGCCGCTGAGCCATGAAGGCAACATGGTGGCATGAATTAGAGCCATTTGAGCCAATTAGAGTGATGTATGTCTCGGCAGCCGCTGGTGGCGTCGTCAGCCGATACACTCGGATGGAGACGCCGCGCTCGTCATTTTTTAGGGCTTAATTAGAAAAACATCACATGCCCCGCGAAAGGCGCGGGCGGGGTGAGTGTGCGTGAGCCGCGGCGTGCACGAATGGGTGCACAGACGGGGAGCAAACACGCGGTGTGACGCTGATTTATGGCAGCGATTTTCCCCTGGATACTTCACAGCATTGATCTTCATTTAGATCGGCGATAGACATCTTATTTACAAGTCAATTTGCAGATTATTTTCCATGACAACGTTTTAGGGTTAGGAACACGTCCTTAGCGTGCGACAACCCCTCCATCTGATCAGTAGGGGCCGCTCTGGGGCAACTGGGTCCCCTCGCAGGTGACTAAAAGGAGCTTAACTCAGGCAGCCAAGCTCGGTGGGCCCATTTCAGAGATGATGGGAATGGGCGAGTTATGGGAGTGTTCCCATTTCTCCCTCCAGTGGTCCCCTGATCATTGGTGCCCTCTTAAATCCTCCCCTACAGAGTCACACGCGGATAAACGGCATGAACGCCGCTACATCTCTCTTCCTATGCTTGTGTTTGGCACAGCATACCAACCCAAAGACGACGCGCCGCTGGATACCGGTCTGTAAAGTACAGAGCTTCACCGAGAGGGACCCTCTTCCACTACCTCCCATCCAGTAGACAGCGCATACGTGTTGTCATGAGGACTGCCAAAGGAAACACACGTTGCACATTGCTGACATGAAAGGTACACTAATAGTACCTGTGATGGTGCAAATGAATTCAGGCCTGAGCATCCAGGTCAAAACTGTCCGCCTGTTGCTGCAGGACACCCGGTAGTTTTGCAGAGAGTTGAATAATTGGCTCAACTCCAATATCACGCTAGTCTAATCTGTTAAGAATAAAAAAGTGATGGGTTTTCCAGTGCGTGTTTCACCGAACGGGCTACTGCTCATTTTACAGTTGTACTAAATGGATTGAAGCTCAAAAATGATTATTTTTCTGCAAGAATCTGTTTCATTTCACTTGAAGGTGCGACCCATTGACGGTGTAAAAACAACGTCCACTGAGGGACTACACTCGCCGTTGAAGACGGCCGCGTGGGGAAATGGAGACTGACACACGGTGGAGCAGAAGCAGGCTCCCGGGATGACGGGTCACTCTGTGTTTTCTCTGGATGACAAATTAAATTAGAACGTTGTCCTCTGCTCGAATGGAGTAGCTCTGTTGTTCTTCATCTATTTACCACTGGAATATTGCTGTAGCCTGTGTTTGCCTGTCCGCAGAGAATAGAGTCGCTTACCAGCACCAAGCTGGTTCAGATGGTGCTGCTTAATATTATGGGACAAAGCTGATACCATATTTATGTTTGCTTGACATTAAGTAATTGTTTTCTGAAGCCTGGTACGCGCATACAACGTGAGATGCAGTTGCCGTTGGTTGTATATGGACCCAAATGCAACACACCAGATTCCGGCCAAGAGGCCAGATTCTTCGGGCTTTTATTTACAAGCTTTTCGGAGCAGCAGCCGGAGGCAATCAGATTCAGGATCAGCAGACTGGAAGGTTCACTCGGTGTCAGGCGAAGCCGGAATAACAGGGACAGGAAGGGTCGGTGACAGGATGTCAGTCGGTTGGAGATGGGTGGAGAGTCAGGCGTGGGAACATGATCACGGGCAGGTGAGGGAACAGGTGAGGGGAGAGACTGATGAGTAGA